AGGGAATTTTTGTCGTTTGATATTGGCCAGAGCACAGACTCGGCAGTGCTTGACGCACACATTGGCCACCGGTAGTCCTGTTGTAGTTCGCTCCAGTCCTTTAACGTCTATATGGCCCATTAGACGGTGGAAAAACCCTGACGCACATCGTCTTGAGTAGGGTCTGAGCCGAAGAGAGACGTGGCATCACCAAATTTGTCCATTTCGTGTAACCACTTTGCCGATCAGAAATCAGTCACAACCTCCTGTCAGCCTTTCCTCGCCTCAACAAGTCCCTTGGAGATGACTTATAACCATATCCTTGGCCTTGTGCCGACCGCGAAGGTATTTAGGCCTTATAAGCACTTAAAATATCGGTGACCTGACTAGGTACCCACTATGATATTTTCCCCCAGTGCATCTTTCAAATCGAAATTCTTGTTGCATCTCGTCCTCACATTTGAGCCGCTTGACCTTTTCAACGAAAGTTTAATTATTGTCAGCTTCCCCTTGTTGTTTCGTGGCAACGTAGTATTCAGAATGTACTCTTAATGGCCAACAAGTTCTCCTTCATTATCACGTCCTCGAATGCTTCCTCGATATCTGTGTCACTACCACAGACAGCTCCGTTGAAAAACTTCGGTGTGGTGGTGGTGACATCCCATACAATAGACACGTCGCAACCAAGCGCTGCGCTCGTAATCGAAGTAGTCATGAATGACTCGCTCTATCGACATCATTGAGTATGGGTAGACTCGACAGAGAAGGCACAAACCGAACGCGATACACCAGAATGCCCAATAGAGCAATAGTGGTTGGTACTGGACACCAGCGCACTTGCGCAGGTGTTGCGAGAGGCGTTGCCGACTGTTCACCGAGTGGCCAATCTTAATGGTCCGCGGTTGACCAGGTATTTCGAGGACATAGACGTAACCCGGTGCATCCTTCTTGTGTCGCGGTCGCTGTTTACGCATTTGTTTCCGTGCCATCCCTTGGTCTTGTAGTTTGTAAGTTGATATTCGTAGAAATAAGAGACTTCACCCACGAGTTTTGCACATCGTTTGAGGTCTTGAATTTGTGCTTGTTCCTGCTTCAGTATTCTGCGTGACATGCAGGAAGAAGGTGAGCGAATGGAGGTTTGGAGTTGGACGACCGCAGATGGTAGCTGGATGACTGCAGATGACCGCTGCATCATCTGATCGGCGCATTTGGCCCTTGGGGGACACAATACTCCCTCAAACGCTTTAGCAGAACACTGGTATTGTAGTGCACGAGAGTTGGGTGCCCGGTTTAACTGCACGGGGTGGTCAAAGTCAAATAAAGATCCTCTTGGTGCTCGGAAGGAAGTGGAATCGCTGGCCTGTATGCCTTGGATCAATTTTGAGGGCTTGTTGCGGAGGCCATATCAAATACTCCTCATTTGCGGGCCGATTCATGCGGAAATGGAGGAAAGGTGCGGGTAACACCTTAGTTGGGTTGTTGTGTGCTTATCCTTGCTGACAAGCTTTGGTCATGAGATAAGTGCCTCCGACTCGTCTTGATTACCTCTCTTGAGTTGTGCTGCCACTGGGTGTTGGTCGATAAACAAATGGATTCCTGCCGCATTTGTGGATTATTTTCCCCTTGTGACTCCGAGATTTCATTAGAACATCTTGAACAAGTAAGCCTTGATGATAACTTCGCATATAATAGCAAGTACAGTCCAAGTTTTGATCAGTATGGGGATGAAGAACATCGCATTAGCTTTTTGAAGGCTGGATAGCGATAGTATTTTGGTGTGTGCATGTATCGTTCTTCAAGTTGAAACGCTTCCTTCGATCCGGTAAGCAATTTTGGAAACATTTTTGAAGGCGCTTTTGAAGATGCGACTCACTACGTGTGTTCATTGAAGAAGTCTGGTCTAAGTTGCTGCGTGACTCTAGTGACAGCTGGAATTTTTCGGTGTGGATTAGTAATCAGTCATCCCCCATTCTGTGAAGAAACCAACTAGTTTGATTAAAGGGTACTACTAGGTCAATCGAACTCAATAAGAGCTGGAAGGAATAGAAACAAAGGCAGCGCGTAGCAAAGGAGAAGGAGAGTAAGCAACGAAGTGTCGAGAGGGGTTCTAATCTAGCACTTGAACACTGTCGGACGAGATCTCAATGATATCATTGGAAATGTTCACCGCTGAATCCATGGAAAGATCGCCAGCGTCGGGCTCTGTATCGTCGAGGGCCCCGAGCGTGTCCGCCACCGCACGGATCAGATGGTTAAGAGAGGCCACACTTGCGCATGCCTTGCGACTGACATCGGCCAGGGCATTTTCGGCATTATGAAGTTTGAGCTGAGTGTTGGCAAGATCGTCGAGAAGGTCGTCCTTTTCAATTTGCAGCCTGCATACATCTCGAGTGGCTGCGTCTAGTGCATCGTAGAGACTGTTAGACGTCCTTTGGAGCAACTGATTATTTCTTGAGCGCAGCGTCCAATTAAGCATTGTGTGAGATTACCTTGACTTTATCAACCTTGGTGATTAGATCTTGACGCGTAAAATTGAGCTCGGTTTCCAGATGTGCCTGGCGCTCCAGCACCGCGTTGAAATTGTGCTCAAGCAGCCCCATCTCTCGCTGGAGATCTTCATTGCTGGCCTTCTTCATCTCGATTTCGTGGTTTAGCGCACCGAAGGCGAAAGTCAGGCCGTTATGCTTCTCGTTCAGCTCTTCGAATTCAGAAAGGAGCGTCCGGTAGGTGACAAAAGCTATCGGGACAAGCTGAGATGAATACAAGAAGGGGAAAGATCACATACGAATGGGATTATCCTCATTTGTTGGAACCAGGACTTCCGGACTAGTGGAACGTTAATGAGGAGTGAAACTCGAGTCAAAGGACGCACAGGCGGGGGAACATGGTTTCGATGGACGATTCAGATCGATGCGTCGCTGATGTTGAGGTGAATAGGCTACGACGTTGAACCTGATTGAAGTTGGGGGAGGGGGAGTCGGGAGTTGCGGCATGGGAAATTAAGCGTCCATATCCACGCCCTGGGAGGCCAGGAAACACAGCGGAGTCAGAAATGTCGGAACTGCTTGTAGACATTGTGAGGGTGGTACAAGGGAGAAACGAGGCTCAGGCTTTTAAGGGAAATCGTGGTACAACCAAGGGGATCGCAGTCATGGACGACACGAGCCTTCATAGACTGCTAGACTATGAGCAGATGAGGCAGAGAGTCTGCCGAGATGCCGAGTGACAACGTCTGACTGCATTGGCAGAGCAGCCACCGGCGTTCAAGTTGGCGTTTGGGGTGCAACTTGAAGAGCAAGGCGCGGGGGCAAGATGCGCCGACTGGAATATACGACTTCAAGCAGGCATACTTTGGCTTCAAGTTCGACGACATATACAATAAGCGTGAAATTTTAACGGGTTGGTTGCGGAGATAAACAGGTACATGAGACGACTATGTACAACAGATAAAACAGATAGGAAACCGGATACAACTACACAGACACAGCAGTCATAGCCTATGAGGAGCCGTAGTGTTAGTATTTAGCCTAAATCCAGTAGGTGTATCTAGGAAATGCATTGCCTAGGATACTAGGTACAGCCAGAGGCTATGTACACCTAGAACTTTAGCCTAGCAATTCTCCCTAGGCCAAAGTATTATTTTAATAGAAATATATATTATCACTCTTTATCTGGTATTCTATTACCTAAGCCGGTGCACCTATTTATATAATGTTTTCAATGTGGAACCATTTTTGATTGCCATCAGTACTTTTGATGGCTATATCACAATACATCATTTTTGTCCAAATTAGGATTGTTATTGCCACAGGCCTTCCCAACTATATACCGGATCATCGGCCTGAAGAAAAGGAGTTTAAAGTATTATATATGTATTATTATTAATATTATAGGTATTATATAACCATTTATTCCATCATTGATGCTATATTGATCCAGACACCCTGAGGTGATTCTAGCCTAGATCACTGGGTACACCTAGGCTAGGTACATTTAGTATCCTAGGCAATGCATTTCCTAGGTGCACCTAAGCCAGGAGGCTAATTCTTACAGCTACAGGTGGTCATAGACGTATAAGTTGGCGAATAGGTGGAATCTGTAACATCCCCAAAAGTTTGTTTATACCGGGAAATTAGGGCACGAAGTTTGGCGTTTTCCGCGTTGAGCTTGGAGGCTTCAGCCATAATTTCGTTACGGGACCGATGCAAATGATTGTTCGTCCAAGTAAGTGCCTGGCAAAATGGTAAGCTAATACTCATTGGGCAAATGAGAACGCACATTCAGGACGGAATGTTTTGTCTGAAGTTCTCGTTGAGTAAGGTTAAGGTGAAATTGTGTCTGTAGTAATTCCTGTTGCATTGCAACACGCGATTGACACGCATTTCGCAAAGACGCTTCGGCTTGGCTCTGAGCGCGTACAAGGCCCCGCGTTCATCATATTAAGCCCCTCGTTCATGGCTTTTAAGACTACTAGGTCATCTTGAATGTAAGCTCGTTCAGAACGAAGCTCGGCCAGCCGACAATCTTTGACAGTTTCGGTTTCGGTTTCAGTTTCGGTTTCAGTTTCTAGGCGAGGTTGAATCCGACCTTGAACAACGGCGAGCGATGCATACCTTCGAAGACTGGATCAAAGGGGGGGCAGTGAGGGGAGGGGCGAGAAGGGGAGGGGCGAGAAGGGGAGGATAAAGCGACAGACATGAGAGGAGATGGTGAGTGAAAGCAAAGAAGCTTGACTGTCACCGTGACGCCTCAGGCTCAGGCTATGCGATCAACAGACTCGTCATTTTTGTAGTCGGACTCGGAGCTTGACTACTTCTCAGTACGGCAGGACACAGCAGAAAAGTGCTCTTCCAATAGAGTCCAGACTCGAAACTATACCAGGAAAAGCAAGTGTAAACTACTTGATTTCCGCCTTCTCCGCAATAATTTTTTCCGACTCAACTTCAAGTTGCACTCAAAACTGACGGCCAGTGGTTGCGGCACACGTACACGGCCTCTTTCTTGCTCAGTAGTACCTGGTCATGCCAAAGACCCAACACAAATGCGACCTATGTGGCAAACCACTTCGGAACCTGGCAGACGCGAAACGTGTTTACGATCGTACATGCCCTGGCTTCCGGGCGCTGCATATTCAATCTGTGGCGCATATTCGGCCGCATCTACCTCCTCCACTTCCTCCTGTTGAAGTCCAGGTGAGCTCAAGCCATATCAATACCAAAATTTTGACGAATGCAGGTTGAAGAAACCCCGCCAGAGCCTCTCAAATATCGCTCAAGTGGTCTGCCAGACCGTCATCGTAAGGCTCCGGCACGGCTGAATGACGCTGCCCCAGCCCCTCCACCACGAGTAAGACGACAGCAAAGAGCAAATATGTCAGCAGTCTCTATGGCACCAGCACCAACACCAGCATCCACAGAACCAAAAGCACCACGAACGTACATCCAAACAGAGCCCAATGCTTATGGGCTGTATAAGGTGTATCCACGACGTCCAACGCACGATCCTGATGACGGCCTCACCATTGTCGACCTCTATCAGGTCCCCTTGCCGACCCAAAGTAGCTTGAATGAACTACTACCCCCACCAGAGCCTTGGTACCACCCATTTCCGAATACTTCGGTCGCACATTTAATGAAGTATCACATCGAGGAAGAGAGCGCGGGTTCTATTGCTGGCTTTGATCGACTTATCCAAAACGTCCTTCGACCCAACGCAGAAGCCGAATCGGACGGCGTCAACCTACACGATCTCCCGTTTCCCTTTTCAACCAAAAAAATTTTTGGACGACCTAGACAAAAAGGGAATCGAGCCTCTCGGAGTAAACGAAAAATGGATCCAAGGATCTGTTTTGCTCAAATTGCCTTGTGCGGGTCGAAAGCAAAAGGAAATTGACGCTCCAGAATTTACAATCACCGATATTCACTATCGCCCCCTCCTCGACCCAATCAGAGAGGTTCTCCAAGGACCGCTATTCAAAAACTTTCACACCACACTCAGATTTGACCCGACATTTGATCCCAATCAATCGACTTCACCCGACATACCACTCGATGAACACAATCCAAGATTGAATGGCCATGGCCTCCCCGAACTACCTCCTCATCACGAAGAAGTTTTTGGAGAAATCTACACGTCAGCTGCCATGCTTGAGGCGTACCATTCAATACCGCAACCTCCGCCTCCTCAATCTCCTGACGATCCAATAGAAAGCATCGTCGTCGCCCTTATGGAGTGGTCCAACGCAACTCACCTTGCTCAATTCGGTACAGCATCACTTTGGCCGTGCTACACATTTTTCGGCAACCACCCAAAGGCGTATCGAGGCAAACCATCCTTGAATGCTGGCTTCCATCAAGCGTACTTCACAACCGTATGATATATTACAGCCGTGGCAGTCTTTGTTCTCACAATGTTGTAGCTTCCCAACTCCATTCGCGATGCATACCGGAAAGAGTATGGACAGGACATGTCGGACGATGTTTATAGACATCTCAAACGCGAACTAATGCATCGAATATGGGACCTCTTACTCTCAGAGGATTTCATGGACGCCTATGATAATGGAATCAAGATACGTTGTTGGGACGGCATAGTTCGTCTCATTTTTCCGCGGTTCTTCATCTACGGTGCAGACTATCCCGAGAAGTTTGTATCCATTGTTGTTGTTGTTGTTTTTGCTAACAAATAACAGGGTTCTTCTGGCCACTATCTGAACCCTCGGCGGACGACCTTGTCCTCGCTGCTTTATTGAAAAGTCGCAGATTGCAGAAACTGGAACAATCAATGACATGAAACGACGAGCAGTGCTCCGCATCGACAATCACCATCGACATGTAACTATCGAAGATGCTCGTAGGGCCATTTTCGACAACGGCTTCGCTGTTGCAGGTTCCTCTATCGACAACATGCTTAAGCCAAACTCATGGGTCCCGATTCGTGTATGCCAAGTTCCATTTATATCTTCCTGCATCCCTGCTTACATTTAAATCAGAACGCCTTCTCCAAACTCGACACACCAAAAACGCCCTTCAATTTTCATAGTATGTTCGTTCCTGACCTCTTACTTGAGGTCGAATTGGGAGTCGTCAAAGCGATCATTGTTCATATGATTCGTATGCTCCAAACCTTCAAGAATGTTGATGAATTTGATGCACGGTAGAAGAAATTTGCAGATAATTGGAACAGTATTGACTCTGTCTATAGATTGCGTCAAATTGAAACATTCGGTCGAAGGCTTGTTTCCTCTCCACCAAAAACTGATCAATCAGCTCTGTTTCGAGCTTGCGGTCTGGCACAGTTATGCAAAGCTTCGTATGCACACCATAACAACAATAGAGCACTTCCGGGTCGCAACCAGTGATCTCCTGACGTCAATTCGTCGTTTCTCCCGAGAAACAATCAATGTTTTAACTTACGAGCTTCCTCATGAAGAGCGTCGGCGCCTGAAAAAAGCTGCGAAGGGTCCTCCGCCGTCTACCACACTGGCCACTCAGCCGATTCCCATTCCTGCGACTCCTTCGTCTTCTCTCCCTTCCATTCAAACAACAAATATGAAAGGAAAGAAAAAGTCACGCACGCAGGTGACCCAATCAACCTCCTCGGCCACGGTTGTGGGTCCGCCAGCTTCATTGCCAGAGCCTTCTAGTTCTGCGCCAAAACCGCCAGCTAAGAGAACCAAACCGGCGAAAGAGACGGTTGAAAAGCCATTCAACATGATAACCTACAAATTGCATGCGTTACCAGACTATCCGGACTCAATCGTGCGTTTTGGAACCACAGATTCAACGTCTACCCAAGTCGTGCGTGCTCACTTTTTCAATTGGTGCCGTTCTCAAACTGCTTTGTAGGGTGAACTTGCACATCGCCTGGTCAAATATCTATCACACCGGATTTGGTAAAATATCTCTTGAAGTAGAAACTGTTCTAGATTCTGGTAGAATCTAGAACCAAATCAACACGTGGAGATTTGTCCAGAATATACTGTTTTGAAACTGAGATTGATTTTGGTCAAATATATACTAGTTTTAGCAAGTCTGAAGTGAAAACTATCTATGGTACTGAAACTATGCCTGAAATGGTTCATATCTGCACCCATATCTTTGGTAGTGATATCACGCACATCAAACATGGTGAAACTGACACTGAAATCCTTTGTTTCAATAACAGTTTTAGCGCTGATGATACAAAGCAAATCAGCAGCAGAGAAATGCAGATAGATTCTCTTTGTTTCTATTTGCATTTCTCCACTGCTGAAACTATAGGTTTACAGTGTAATGAAATCATTGTTGAAATCTCAGATTTATTTGTGCCAGAAATTGTGATTGAAACTGTCAGTATATACATTGGAGAAATTGTAAGAGATATTGTATGTATATCAGTGACTTGAGGGTCAACCCTCAAGTTAACCCTCAAGTCAACCCTAAGGGTCTACCCAGAGGTCAGACCCTTAGCCTCCGGGTAGACCCTACAAAGAAGAGCCGCGCCGACACCACTGCCGCAAGAGACCATGTCCAGGATAATTCTGTCGTCCAGATAGGTCGCCCAAGCTAAGCAGTCGAAGCAGAGGTACAGGGATGCCAGCCCGGACGCTTTTATGTCAGAAATCGGCGCTATAGACCACCGCCACACGCCCCCGATCGAGTGCCCAGAAGACTAGTAGCTTCACCGCTACAGAGGGTACAAAGGAGACGTAGGGGAGATAAAAGCGTGGCTACCTGCCACGCGGACGCCGCTACTTATAGCGCTATTCCGGCCATGCCCTAACCCGAGCTCCGGCCGGCCGCAATCACATGCGGGACCGCGCATCACCGCGCGTCCATCCTTCCCGCTACCGCTAACAGCATCCTTCAGCGTGTCGATATCCAACGCAACCTCGAAAGCGCCTGTGCCCATTGGCGCCATTTGACCAAACATAACGTTCTCCGCAATGCCATGGCAGTCGTCCTTCTCACCCACCGCTGCAGCCTCCATAAGGATTTCGACCGTTTCCTCGAATGAGCATCTCATCAAGGCCCCCGTATCTGCTCGATTGATCCCGTGACGCGTAATTGCCATTGGAGACGGGTACGCGAATCGGCCGCTGCACTGCCGCTGCGGCCGCTGCAGCGGCACTTTGCACAGCCACTGTGAGCGGCAGCTCAAGTATTCTTTTCACATACATCACATCCTTGTACTTGAGTACATTTCGAATAATATCAGTCAATTTCCACTTGTATCATTAGCTAGAACAAAGTGCAATTGTGTTTAAACCTTCCAGAAATGCCTCATCAAAATTGGTACAAACAATGATAAACAGCCGCTGACAGCTGTGCAGCGGCTCCAGCGGCACTTTGCAGCGGTAGAGGTTGATTGTTGCAAGCCGCTGCCGCTGCTGACATAATACTTGCAGCGGCCGTGCAGCAGGAGTGCAGCGGCACTGCAGCGGCGACACTGCAGCGGCAGTGTTACATTGCTACTGTGGTGTCACACTGCCGCTGCAAATGTCACAATACTGCTGCTTCACATTGCAGTTCGGCAAGTGCAACGTCTAGCCTGTACATACATAGAGGAATCGGCCATGATGGCTCGCAGTGTGAGGCGGAATCCGGATTCCGGATACGGGCCTCGAGCGAGGTGCGTCGCCTCTCTCTGCCTTTCCTTCCCACTGCCAACTAGCCGGTCAGGCGCCGGAAATTTTCAACCGCGCTCAGGCTGCCCGCGCACTGGCATGCGTGCCGATGTTTATGCCTGAAGGCCTCAGGCTGACTCCTTACCCGTGGCGCAGCGCAATCGCCGGCGCCACATGCATCTGGACCAACTTGAAGCAGCCTGAGCGCCGTGCCGCATGACGCCGGTCTGGTACGCGAATCAACCGCTGCAGGGTCGCCGCTGCGCCAAAACTGGACCAAAGTCGAGAGCAGTATATTCAACTTCAGTCTTGACTCTTCAAGTTCAGATAACTTCAGGAGGCGTGACCGCGGCACTAGCAGTGGGCAGCGGCAGTGTAGCAGCGGTACTGCAGTACTGCAGCGGTGCCACAGCGGTATTGCAGCGGCAGTGCAGCGGCCCTGCCGCGGTTGCAGCGGCCGATTAGTGTAGCCACATTGGAGACCCTCGGTGGGTCATCAAGTCGCAAAGAATCGCCAGATGTCGGTAGTTGACGTAAGAACCATCGAACTCGATAACACCACGAAGCTCCTTCAGGATAGCCGCACGAGCGGCTTCAATACCCAACACATTGAAAATTTCAACGCAGTTGTTGGAGTATGTGCGCTTGAAGTCAACACCGTCGATGCACAACACCGTCCGTCTCCAGAACCCATTCCTCTCGCTTGCGAAGAGCGATCCTGCCATCGTCTTCTGTCACGACCTTGTCGTGCTCAGCCAAAAACACCTTGCGAATGTCTTTCACACCTCGCAAGCTGACCGAGTTCAACATTGTGTTCTCGAGCTGACGCAAGAATATATCCTCCTCGACGTTGTCGTCGTCTTCCTTGTCCCTCCGCCAAGCACTCGACACTGAATGACAAGCTTATCCGAGTTGTCTTCGCTCCAGATGACGAATAGGTGAGTTTTGAAACTTTCAGCAATCCGGCTTGCAACATAGTGCATCGTGAGTTTGCCGACCATCTTGTTCCGGTTGAGTTCGAGACGAAGGAGCCAAGGAGACTGCAAATGCAGTTTGTTCTCGACCTCCTCATCCGGAATAGCAAAGAAATCTTCAACGAAACCTTGATCCTCCTCAATGATTGTCGAGGTGGGATCAGGATATAAGAGCAGTTTTCACAAAAATTTAGTCATTTGAGTCTGTCCTCTTTCCATTGAGGTTTTGAAGAAGGTTGTGGTTTTTTTACCAGGTTGTGGTGTGTGGTCTACATGGTTTTTGCTTCTCAATTGATGGTTTGTGGTGGTGCTATGAGATTTATGGTTATGTTTACTATGTTTGAGCTTCAGGTATTGTACATTAAACCACTTACCCACATTCAAATCTAGTAGAAATTGATACTATGATGGCCGATCAATCTCATCAATCTTGCTATCGCAGTTTAAGGCATCCACCTTCTATATATATCTAGATTCTCCTGGTCTCACCGAGCTTTAGAGAGCCTCAGACATTTGAACTGCAAGGTAAGTAAAGCCTTCCAGACTTTGGAGCTTCGCAAAGAGTATTAACTTGTTGTAGAGCATTGATGAATTGATCTGAATCTGATGGGAGGGGAGAAAGGAAATCTTAATTTTAGCTTCTATGTCAGGGGAACCCCTGATGCCGTCACTTGATCCCATCAAGCGCCGCGTCTCCGCTCGCGTCTCCGCTCGTGTCTCCGCGTCTCCGCACCCTAACGCTCTCCCTCCCTCCACTGCCTGCACCACATCCCACATCCAGTGATCCCGAGTCTTCGACTTCCCTGGCCACTCCCCTCCGGAAGTCCATCCGGAATCACCATCATGGATCACTAACGCCATCGGAGACCTCTCCGGATGTGGATGCACCACTTCCCTCCGAGACCTTGAGCTTATGGCCTTCTAGCCTCTCCGGGCTGTTACTTATCAAGGTCTCCCTACCATCTCTATCCGCTGGACCTCTTGGGTGTCCCCAACCTATGTCAGCATTTGGGCTTACGTTCGGATGGCTGAGCTTTGCCATGGCTCCGCTCTCTACTCCGCCACCACGGCCCCCGTCATCGGGTCTTCCCCTGGGTGAGGCCTACTGCCGTTAAGGCTCGTGCCTACTGCAGCGCCCCAGGCTGCACGCCCTCACACCTCCACCTCTCTGGAGACGTCTGGGGACGTCTCCGAGTGACCCCCTGTCGCTACCCTCCAGTGGTCATGGCTGGCCGCCATTCCCATTGGTCCTCTTCGACACTCCCCAGCCCTTGGGCCAGACCAGACTCCTTCCCTTTCCGCTCCACGCCTTCCCTCTCCGTTTCCGGCCGTCACGTCACGGTCACACACCCGGAGTCGATTCCGATTCCGATTCCGATTCCGGTTGTCACGTCACGGTCACAAGCGGAGACGCCCAGAGGCAGCCTGGACCTCCCGAAGCCCTTCTTGGGCCTTCTAGGGATGCCTGGGCCCCTCCCTTGGCATCACGGTCCCAAACCTGCCTCTCCGGAGCTTCGAGGGCTACTCGACACTCACCTAGGGTCCATTAGCGACACCTGACTTCTCCAACCCATCATCCGTCGTTACGCAGTCACTCTATCATTACTCCGGTCACTAGTATATAGTAGTGCACCTGGGCAGAGGGCTCCTTGGCTTGTTCTCTAAGGATTCCCCCTCTGCTCAGGACTCTGATTTCGAGCCTCGCGAGGTTGCCCTTACATTCTAGACACTTGCAATACAGGCCTGAAACCTCAACCACAGAAATCAAAACCTTAACCACAGAAATCAAAACCTTAACCACGGAAATCAAAACCTTAACCGCAGAAATCAAAACCTCAACCATGTATGCCACAAGCAAAAAAATGGCCTCAACCACAAAAAATGAACACAATCATAAGTCATAAACCACAAACCACAAGCAAATAATTTTTTGTGATAACTGGCCTCATATCAGGATCATAGTAGATCTCCACCGCAGAGGTGATTGTTCGCAAGGACGTATATTCGAGTTCATGAGCGACAGTCAAGGCAAGATTGCGGTTGACCGAGAGATGCGGTTGGAGGTAGACAGTGAGGGAAGGCGTCTTGATGTTGGCGGCGACATGATTTCCTTTAGACGAGGGACACCGAGCGTCACGTTTTTGCTAGAAAGACCAGCATAATGGAACGTGTTGAGCGTCATTTGTGTCGCAGGTTCTCCAATCGATTGTGCGGCCAGAGTACCACACATTTCACCGGGGTTGACGATGGCCTGGTTGAATTTAGACTCTACTTCACCCAACATCCAATCGAACGCTTCTCGAGTGAAATGGAACCGTTCGAGGACATGACGTGTTGCAAAGGTTGACCGAAGGTGCATTTGGAATCGCAAGACAGCATCTCCCAAGCATCTCCATTAGCAATTGTGCTTATCGGATCATTTCCACGAACGACCACAAGTCGTTCGCCCAATTCCCTGACTGCATCAAGTATGTATGCTGGCTCAAGGTCACTGGGTTGGCGGCGATCGATACGGAAAATTTGGGTGGCATTTTGGATAATGCGCTGCATGTTGACAGGAAGATAGAAGTTGGTCGTGTTGCCGGCACGAGGGAAGATGAAGGTTCGCAGCAGGTTGCGGTCGTCAGAGAGTTGTGTGTATTCCTCGTCCAGTTTGGCCTGTACTAGTAGTTCCAACGAGCTGTCATCCAGGCCGAGTTGGAGAACACCAGGCATGAAACCGCCCTTCTCGTCTGTCACATCCACTCGGTAGTCGTGACGAAATTGTTCGTCGTTCATAGCGAAGGTCGCGATGTCCTGCTTTTCAATGAAAGCACCATCCATACCATCCTCACCGTAGATGAATTGGATCAAGTCGCCAAGGGAGTTTTGGACCGTGCCATCGTAGGAAACCATCGCGTCCTCCAGTGCCTTCACCAATCGCCGTTGGATGTAACCCATCTCTGCTGTCTTGACGGCTGTATCAATCAAACCTTCACGACCAGCCATAGCATGGAAGAAGAACTCCTGGGGCGTTAAGCCACGCAGATATGAGTTTTCCACGAAACCGCGAGCCTCGGGACTAAAATCGTCCTTGGTGAAATGTGGCAAGGTTCGGTGCTTGAAACCGTCAACCTTCGACCGACTGCTGCCCAACACAGACTGACGTCTGCAAAATGTTGATGAAGGAACCCTTGGAACTGCCACCACCATCTGCTTGACATCGTTCTTCCTTCCAGTCCTTCTGCGCAAATTGACCCGAGTCGTCAGGAGCCAGATTGAGTTGTCGCTCGACCAGACTTTCGAAGGACTCTCGGATCGTCATACCAAGAGCAGCTTTTAGCCTGTCGTGTGTAGCATGCTCGATAATGTTCATGACGTTGGTTTTGCACTCTACGATCTTTGGCAATAGTGTCGCCAATACCGATACTAAAGCCGTTGTGAAACAGCCAGTAGTTGACCACCGTCTGTAGACCAGTGGACAGCTGCCGAGTTGCCTCTGGCCCTTTCTCTCGGAATACTACGTGCACGAAACCACCCTGCGAGGTACCGGAAGTCTGTTTCTCCACGGTTCCGAATATGATCTCGCCGTTTTCAATCAACATGCCATCGTCGAACACGGGGTTGTTGCTCTTGTCTTCAGCGCCGCAGGATGGTGATGCCGTGAGGAATGACCATACTAAGAATCTGCTTGCCGGACCAGGGAGGTTTGGGCTTGAGGATTGCAGGAGTTGGTACTTGTCCGTCCCAATCAGGAACCTAGAGCAAGATGTTTTGAACTTGGTTCCAGTCAAGGAAGGTATCGCGGAGGGTGAACTTGCAAATGCCGCAAAGCGTGTCTTGGACAATACCCATGACTGGCTTATTGGCTTGAGGAGAAACGATCTATGAATGAAAGATGAGCTTCCGCGTTGGAAGAAGCGATAATTCGAACCTGGCGTGGAACCCATGCCATTTGACTGAGCTCTGCCCACGTCTCTTCGCTCTGAGGCACACTGAATGATTGTCAGTCATGGACGAGGATCAACGTTGGTATACGTACTGCATGTTCATCTCGTCTCCATCGAAGTCGGCGTTGTAAGGAGGTGTGCTGGATTTCTGGGTAAGAGATGCCGAACGACATCACCAATAACTTACACGGAAAGGTTTAGATGGAAGGCTAGAACAATGAGCTGGAATTGACGAAGCAGATCAACAACTTACTGGAATATGGCATCAACTTCAATCAGTGACTCATCATACTCATTTTGTGCAGACTAGGCTGACGGTTGAAGAGAAGTTAGAGAACAAAGCTGGCCGAAAGATCAGTAGAAAGTTATGGAGTTCAACAACAACAACTCACTCGCCGTCCTTCAGATGACGTTCTACAACCCATCCATATTGGAGGAAAGCATCCACCCGTTTATTGTATCTCCAGTCAATTCGTTCACCAGTATCCCGTGTTAGCGAGCGCCGGGGTACGCTGTCGGACCATTATGAACGAGCTCTTGTAGGTAACTGATGCTGTATGGCGTTACCGAACAAACAATGAGAAATGAAAATGCAATCAATAGTAACCCCTACCTCGTTCAGGATACGTCAAGTTCATGGCAATACGCCAACCTCGTCTATTTCGAGATTCGGGTCACCGGTAATGACGGTCCGCGCAGAGAAATCGACCTGCTTGCCCATCGAAATTGCGAATCACCCCGAAGACGACCTTCTTTGCCCTCTCATCGAGCATGAATCAGTGACTTGGCGGGGAGTCCCGACGTTCGTGCAATATCCTTGTCAATGTAGGGCGCGACATGGCACTGCGCAAGTAAAAGGTCAGAAAGAGTCAGATATTCAGATAGAAAAACGAACCTGAGATGCTAGAACTCGGAGATGTGCGGGAGTCGCTTCATTTTCACATCTCCGGACATTGTCGGACGCTTTCCTAGCTTCTTCTAAGTCGAGTCATCCTCGCTCCTCATGGTGCCACTATCGACAGCAATACTGGGTCGGACTGGAGGCGGTGGAACAGGTAGGATGGTGAGGATTATCCATTCTGGATGAACATACTCGTCTGAGAGTCCGAGTGGATGAAGATCGCGATCAGAAATCTTTTTGAAGGTCGTATGAATATCTGTGGGGTTGAAGAGACGTTTGTCGGGTTGTGAAGACTTCATTTCTTGTGAAAGCATATAGTAATGAGTGGGAATCGTGAAAAGACAGCGCCTACACCATCGTCATCCTTGGGCTTCTCGTATCGTGCGAACTTGAAAGGCTTAAGCATTCTTTACGGTTGCTGATAGCCACATCTTCCGAGTCCATGAGCTTTCTTCTGTCTCCCAGACGGTGAAGGACTGCCAAAAGCCGGTGGGTAGGATGGAAGGATGGACCGCGAAGAGGATTGGAAGACTAGGACCACCTCGGAGCAACGGTAACACCCGCTTTGCGCTTCCGATTCACCCAAACACGGGCGCCAGCGCGCTGGAAGGTGGAGGACAGGATGATGTGGTGCTTGATTACATCATCATCTCAGGCCCACCGCTCTTATAAAATTACTAGCAGGGACCCGTGCTACGCTACGGGGCTCAAGCGATGATGGCAGGGGATTCAAATTAAGGTAGATATACTGACTATTTTTAAGCAGATACTTGGAAATGTATTTAATTTTGCGTCGTGACATTCATATGCCCAAGATTGTGTCGAGCGCGAGGTTTCGTGTAAGGCTGGCGAGCCGGTGGAAGATCAGTGTTGCCAACATGCTGGCGGCGGACATTTGTGGCTTGCCGTGGTTGTGAAAGTGGGTCTGGTCGTAGTACGTGAGGCCTTAGAGGTGACTGCAGTATCGAAGATAGTTAACATGGTTCTTAATGATGTAAAGTTAGAACGGTCAGAAATGAAGATAAAAACATACCTGGCTGTGTGTCTGGCGGCGTCGAAAGCTGCTGTCGTTCTTCATTGGCATGCTTGAGAGGGCGGATAGGGCGGGGGACCAAAGAAGAGTGAGAAAATATTAGGGAAAAAAAGTTAAAGAAACCGGCAGACCTGGTCTTCCAGGTTCCTGCGGCTGAAATGGCAGGATTCCGCACCAATTTCTCCTGTCGAACAGTTTGCTGTTCCTCTCATTTTCAGCACTGTCGTTCCCATCATTGTCGCCGGCCTATTGAGCGTTTGACGCGCCTTAGATTTTGCGTTGCTGGAGGGGACGGAAGAAGCAGCTAAACCAAAACATTAGCTCGAGCCGTTGGAAAAATACAAACACAAACCGTTAATCGATGTGCATTTGCAGGCAGCATTAGCAATGGTGGTGGTGGTGGTGGTGGTGGTGGTGGTGGTGGTGGGGGGGGGGAGGGGGAGGGGGAGGGGGAGGTAGAATGAGCTACAAACACGTTAACATATGTAAAAGAATCAAACAAAAAACACGGACATACATTGACCCAACGTCTTGAAGGGGCTGGAGTTGGAGAAGAAGCTCTGTTCTCCACAGAAGTCACATTTGGAGTCGTTCGAAGCTGTTGGCTGGGAGTATCCTGCTGAGCAAACGCTACTTCATGACTCTGCTCGCGCTGGACAGCTTGTTATGGTTGTGCATCTCCTCCAAGGTTGGTATGATCTCCTAGTGCTGTGCGATTGACCAAGATTCGACGTGGCATCGTTTCGGTGCTGCTGAATACAGCGAGGGTTGCAGGGAAGGGAGAGAGGAGTCAGGAGTCAGCAACCTGTTCAAAATAGAGGATTAGAGTGTGTTTGCAGGCCAGAATATCACTCACACTGAGATTCTGTACTTGCAGTACGCCCTGTGACTCAACAGAGTGAGTTCAAGATTGTGTTGGCCAGTGTCGCAAACTGAGACTCAGGTATCATCTACCCAGAGACAGGCAGGTTGCAGAGGGGGCAAGTGTGGTTGTATTGAAGAATGTAGAGAAATACAAAGCTCGTGCATGGTTGAAATTGAATGGGATGTGGCTACGCGGTAGGTAGTTTTGTCGTTGTCAGGGTTGGCAGAAAGTCATGTTGTCTGGGGCCTTAGGAGGCGGGAAATCGAATAAGTCGGTGTCTGGAAGTCAAGTAGTCCGGTAGTTATGAGCCATGGGCGGCACTGAGGACCCATAGCGTCTGGCAGAAGAGAGGAGAGGAGAGGCGAATTGACTTTTGAATGACGCGATCTCATTAATATTGGCTCATCACTCCTGATGTGACGAAAAGTGACACCGAAGTCTCTTGTATAATAAGATTGGAGCTCGAATTTCGAACGACAACCGATTGGTTCACCGTGCGGAGGATTTTTTTGCGGACTCGGAACAGCATAACAATCCAACCGACATGGACACAAAAAAGAATCGAATTCACGTTGTTGCTGTTGTAGTTTTTTTTTTTTTTTTTTTTTTTTTTTTTGTGGCACGTTTGGTCTAGTGGCGTGTAAGAGCAGATTTGGTCTACTTCCCCATCAGCTGAGCGTATATCTCTTTCGAGATTCCGCACCGCATCACTCGGGCCGACATAGTCGGTCGCTCGCCACCCGTGGGTGTTTGGCTATGGGATTTAAACCAGGCCGGGGAGGGAAAGAAAAAAAGAAAACCACCTGAGGAAATGCTCAAGAGCACTTGTGTACAGCGTACACCTTGTGTGGGGCTACAGTCGGAGCACGAACTCAAGGCGTTCTGGCCTGCACCCCCATCATGTCACGGCATGTCTCGGCTGCCCGGCCGGCGAGTGCTTTGACCAAGCTTTGACTGGGTTCCCTCCACGCTGTCATTCAGCCTCCGGAGTGTGTGTGAGAGTGGCTCGGCGTCACCGTGAGGCCGGGAGGTGGGAGGCGAGAGGTGGGAGGCGGGAGGTGGGAGGTGGGAGGTGGGAGGCGGGAGGCGGGATGGGTGGCGCAAGAAACAGAGAGAAAAATCCATAAATAAATTCAAGTTTTTTTAAAATAAAAACATAAATAAATCCAGATAAAAAAACAAGGGCTACACTACTGAGTGCGACTGCTGTCGGTCTTGTCGCTTTTCGGGAGAAACAGGTATTATACGAGCACGCTTGGAATCTCTCTCGTCCTCGTCATCGGCACGCTCAGGTGCTCGGCGGACGCGTGATTGCGTCGTCTCGTGGAATGAGATGTCCTGCGGCGCTGCATGTCGGTTAGAGCGCAGTGTAATTTGAGTTTGAAGCTTCATGAACGTGTCTTCGAGCCCGCTGATTGTCGCCATCTGCTGCTCGGTGAACGCGGCAGGATTCTGCAAGCTCTTGAAGGCATCGAGACAGCAGTCAAGCACATGCTTGACCTTGTTGATTTCAAAAAAGAAGCGGGAGTGGGCTTGAGCTTCAAACGCGTCGGCTGCTGATGGTGTCGATGTTTGTGAGGCAGATTGGATAGATGTCGAGTCCGCAGACATGAGTGGTGCTGCATCCAGCGGAGGCAAAATGAGTGGCGTGAGCAACTCTGTGGTTGTCTCGACATCCTCTGACCCTTCGCTCGCGGCATTCTCATCCCCACTCTCACTTGTCGCCTCATCCCCATCTACCAGTACCGATTTCCACGCGTCCCGAATATCGTCCGCTAAGGCTGCCGTAGGGGTGGTCGCAACAGTCAGCGCGGTCAATCGCCCGCGAGATTGGTAACGAGGGCGTTCACGAAGACGTCGGGACGGAGACGGCGACCTCCACGCTTCCAGTCCGCAATGTGCGAGTTCTTCAACGCACCATTGAAGCCCTCGACATGATTGGTCGTAGGAACGACCCGCGAAACAGGGCAGTTCAGTCGACGTGCCGCCTCGACTTCGACCAGCATCAGACCAGCTGTCGAAAAGGCCAGCGCGCAGCCAGAATCCATCTCCGAGGTAGTCCAGATGTTTGAAGACATTGATGGCAATATCGGGGAGCGACCCGCCATTTGCAGCCTTGAGAGCCGTCTCCAGAGTAGCCCGCTCACGGGCGATGAATGCTCTCGCCGCAAACCTCCAGCCGCTCGTCCTTTGCCTTGCGGGCCGAATAATGAAAGATAGCGCTGGCCAGCACTGGTTTATAGTGCTGCGAGTCCGGATCAAGCCAGTCGTCGATGTTGTACTCTGCTCGTTCCCTGAGTTTGACGCCTTTGAGACGCTGGAATTGGCGGAGGATGCTCCGAGTCTCCTTGCGCTGATCGAGAAGCCAGCGATACGGGTCTTTGACGCGATCCACAGGAAATCCCGGGTACCCGTGTTTGCCACGCCCGATGCGGATGAGCTCGACATTCTTCCGAAAGATTGCCCGCATCTGTGCGCCGCTGGACAGCTGCTCGGCGCCGTCCGGTAGACAATGGCCGCGACTGGCTGGTGAGGCCGATGCTCCAGCATCGCCGAGTCGCAGGCGGCGTTATGCCTGGCGAGCCCACGGACACGGAGAATGGCGCCGGTCGGTGGATGCACCGTAATCTCGAGATGGGCAGGGCAGTCCGTCAGCGGGAACGCCGCCGTTCGATTCTTGCTGTGTTTCCCTTTTGTGTGGTCATAGCCACAAGTGCTGAGAAGGAGAATAAGCAAGAGAGCTGTGCAGAGCATGTAAAGACAACACACCAGACCATAAGAATGTACTTGATGCTCCATATGGCGGGAGGGCTACTGCGGTCCTTGTGGTTTGACCAGGCAATGGACCAATGCCCTGTCGGACAAGGACCGTCAGGATCATGGTGGACATTGTAGCGGGCGAGATGTGAGATGGCATCGACCTGGGCTGACGGGTTGGCGGTGTGGTCATAGACTAAGTCAAATACTAGGTGGCTCTTGGCCACTATCGCCGCCGCTCCAGCATCAGAGACAAACATTTTATTTTTGGGTAGTTTTGCGATTGATGTCGGCGGCAGTGAGTCGGGGAATGCCATTTGGCGGCAGGGTGCGGTCCTTCGGTTTACCAGGCATCAGGAATGATCATGAGACGGGGTAGAGATGGTGGTTTGTGGTGGTTTTGTACAGAGTGGCAAAGTTTGTTGGGAAGTCATATTGGGCGGACAATGGAGGTCTGGCGAAGAGGGCGTCATGGGAAGCGGAGAGCAAAGCGACAATCCCAAAATGACATTTGACAGCTCTTGCCGAGCGTGCCGTTGTCCGATCAGCCGATGATGGGGGTTATGTTGCGCGAGAAATCCTTGTGCCTTATTGACCTCCAGATCAGCTTTTCCGTGACATCGCTGTCGTCTTCTACCGCTGCT